GAAAGAGTAAAGAACTATACAGGCTATGATAATCTATTCAATACGTTTTGGTACGGAAAGTGTCAGGCAGGAAAGGGCTTTTCCGAAACTTGTTTTCTATTAGCTCCCTGTTGGAACACACTAGATGTGTATATCAGAGTAAGGCATTACAGCTGTCAAGTTATCATCAACTGTGAATAATCTAAAACAATTTGCAGGGCACTAGCCACAACTTCTACTGTGTACCTTTCTCTTCCTCCTATTACAAAACAGTTACTGTACTTATTTTCACTTTTAAACTTTGCTACTTGCATATGTCCTAGCTGCAAGCCAGCATGTTCCAAAATATAATACTTGGTCATTGCTGATAAACCTTAAAAAAAGAGCAAGTAAAATTTTGTTGCCTGTGGTTAAATACTTCTTTTGAAAGTGACTTCAAAAACCAATCTAGAGATGGCAGAATTCACAGTTAATAAAACCCCCTTCAGATATTGTACTTTTTCATCTGCTCAGTGTTCTGCTCATAAACAGAGAGTAGTGCCTTAATCTTCATTTTCATATAATCATAGCCACAGGTGGTTTTAAAATAACCCTGCAATTAAAAAAGAATAGTAAAGTTTGCTTGGAGGACTGTGATGCTTTTTTTTTTTAGGCTTTTCCTCTTTTAAACTTTTTTTTGAAAATTTAAATATGCCAGGTAGCTGGCTAAAAAAAGGTTAAAATTGGAAATAAAATATGTGCATTTGTCAAAATGCAGCTCTTGATTAAAAAAAACAAGCAGGCTGGCAATATTACTTTTCACTAGTTTTAGTTATTACTATGCATCTTAGATCTAACAGGAATAAGTAATAAAAATTCAAATGATAAACTATCTAATCATCAACCGATTTGAATATGTTAACAGAGCCATCACAAAGAGAAAGCTTGCTCAGAGCCCAGAACAATGTGGAACATACAAACCCCCAAATCTCTCTGAAACCCAAGGCTGTTGGCACACATCTTATCCCCCACAGAGGCCCTAGAATCAAAATATTTGAAGGCAGCAAGAAAAGCAATGATCTTTATACAAAGATGTTACTTTGCATTTGTTGCTTTTAAAACGCTAGTTAAAAATCAAGACACAGGCCAAGTAGTTTGCTGATAAAGTGATTTATTTTTTTTCCCCAAATATGTAAAGATTTTTAGGACTTCAACTGTGTGAGAGCCTGTCCACATAGTATACTGATTTAATCCACATTTTGCAAAAACCAACATGATTGATAAATGTAACTGGCATCTCAAAAAAGCCATCATTTCCTTAAAACATGTAAAATGTTGCTAGAAATAAAGCATTCAGCTCTTGTCCAAATATTTACCAGTTTTCCAATTTCATTTCAGGTACAAGACTTAAGTTTTCTAACTTCAGCTTCTAAATACATTGAAGTCATTTTTTTTCCCATAGAAGAACACATTAGATAGATGATCAGACATAAAGGTAAGTGCAATCTGCGGTGTTAGTTTTGTTTAAGTAGTGTGCCACAGCCTATTAAAGAAGTTAGTCACTAATCCACATTCAAATCTTTGCCCACCAGCATTGAAGTCACTGGGTGCATGCAGGCTCTATGCTGTTGAAATGTGCTGACAGATTGATCTCGGGACTTATCAAAGTTGTAGAGGTCTCTGCAAGAAATACCATTAGACAAGCATGAACATGAAGCTGATTGCATCTGTATGTCCATGAGAAAACTGTATTCTTTCATAGAAATCTTAATATTCAGAAGTATATTTGAATAAATTTAAATTTCTACATCAGATCTATATGCATGCATATTTTATATGCACACCGTCCCCTCCATGCACCCATCGTATTTTGCAGGCATACCACCCCCACATCGAATAAGTCATTAACCTTGTTTTGGGAAAAGCAAAATTAAGGGGAAAAAAAAAGGAAGATTTTTCCAGAGTTACTAGGCTCTGTCCCTGCTGTTTGTGGCCATCTTCAGCCCACTCACCCCTCCCTTACCTGCTCACAGAAAAGCTTGTTTTAACCCTTTCACAGCTGAATTGTCAGCAGCTCTTGGCCAATCAGCCAAAATTTAAAACTGTAGCTGTTGCTGAAGACTGGACACCATGGACAGATTTAAATTTTTGAAAAAAGCTAAAAACAATCTGCACAGCTGTGAAATAGGAGAAGACAGACCAGGAATAGCTAAACTAAACTAAGCTAAGAAAGGCTAGCTTGATTAATGAAACATCAAGATCCTAAAAAAGGGGAGGGCTCATTAACACCTACTAAGCAAAGAGTAAATTAGCAGGAATCAAGTAGATTCGAATAAGCCATGAAGTCAATTGACTCCCCCACCCCAGTATGCCTGAATGAAAATACCATTGGGCAAAACATCAGCTTCTTTGCTTAAGACATGCACCCCATTTTGGAAGGCTAATTTTTGGCATTAAAAGTGTGTATGGTATGAAAGTAAATATGGTATACAAATTTTAATAGAATCATGGAGGCTTAGATTACACAGAGGAAAGCCAACAGAGATATTCATATATAAAGTACACAGAAGATTGTAGACTAAAATCACCTCCTTTAGAAGGATGCATAACATACTCAGATATGGATGTGTTCACCATGAAGCGTACATTTGCAAGTTCTGAAAATCAGTCTTACCTGAACAATGGTCGAGTAAATTTCATCCGGCCTTGTTCTGTAGCCATTTTTAAAGCCAAAGGAATGGCTTCTTCCCATTTGGCTTGGATGCAAAGGCGTAACCATCTGAAAAAAATATATACTTAGATGTGTATTTCTCTTTTATTTTAATTTGCAAGTTATTTCAAATGTATGCTGTCTTTGCTAATATCAACCAATGCAGTGCTTCTTATACCATCATGTGAATGAAGACGTAAACACCAACCAGTGTAGTGTTCCTTACACCATCACGTGAACAAAGACCTAACATTTCCAATACATCCCATTTTGTTTATAATGAAATTGGACTTTTTTCTATAGGTCAGTTATCATTACCTCCAAGTTGTCCTATATCAACTTGGGGGATTATTACTTTTGCAATGATGTATTTACTGGTATTACAATAGTACCCTGATGCTACTAGTCAGGATTAGTGTCCCTTTTCAGACAGAAAACAGCATCAACGAATGCTGACAAGCTTATCTACTTTGCTGTATAAGTAAAGTCAAGGGGAAAAAAAATCAATATTGATACAGGAATTGGAAACTACATTCTGTCTTAAAATGGTACAGTCTGTATCAACTGCAAGTTGCAAACGCATTGCAGAATACACAAATTAAACATAAAAGCCTGATTGTTAAAATACTTTGCCACTGTACCACAAACAGTGATGTTTAGTAGCAAAAAGCTACTTTAAAAGCTAAATTACAACACTCTTGAAAATAAATAGGCAGTTAGAATTCCAATGAAACAAGTCTTAAGGGAGCATAAATGTAAAAGAGTAATTTGGGGTGATACTAATATTGCCAAACTAGAATTAAGGGGAAGAAAAGAGGTTGTACGCAAGCCAACACCCCCACTCATTCACCATTAAAATTTCTGTCATTTGAAAGACTGGGAGCTTTTTGGGGAGATTTCACACAACTGAACATTTACAAACAATTGGGGTAAAACATCTAGTGTTGCAAAACACTCTCTCAGTAGCAGGGGAATGGATTCAGTGGTGACCTAAGAGGTGATACTCATTGATAATTTCTAACTGTCTAGGCAGGTAATAACTGCATGGGCATCAAAGGCTAAGGATATAAATGTTTATGGTGCAATGGTTAATGTTTACATCTGCATGATCCCCTACTGATAAGAGTGCAGCAGAACCACTACAACTTCAACCCTGTTTCTAAGTCAACTTTAATCCCATTTGCTTTACAGGATCATGCAGAAGCAATGGCTAGCTCATGATGCGCACTCCTGAGTACCAGCTGCCCCTCCACTTTTAAAAAGCTACATTAATCAATGCCCTCAAAGTCTGTATGAAATGAATAATGAATGTAGGAAGTGCTGTTCTTCCCCCCAACCCCGCCTCAAACACTTTTCATGAAGGAATTTCCAGGTTATAACTAATCAACTGACCTGAATCTTATTTCAGAATTGTTTACAGCATTAAAGTTGTAAGCTTCCTGCATTCTCTTTACATGTGACACTGGAAGCGGTGCCTAAAAAACAATGGGAAGGTTAGAAGAAGCAATAGGTTTAAATTCATGTTTCATAAGAGGAAGCAAGACCCAGAAAGACAACTTGAACTCGGAGAGAATTTTAAACAAGAAGGTTTTATTAATGACCAAAACTTACATTTGCTACATTCATTCCATGAAGCACAAGTAAATAAGGGGCAAGGAACATGGAGCTTATGCAATGTTAGAACTGATCCAGTGACAGCAAAGGGCCCTGAACAAGGAGCATTTTGGTCCAGTTGTATTTTAAGCTCATTCATGGGGCACAAAGGCTAAATGGAGATAAATCCAATCATGTTTCTAATTTTGCTTCTGTCAAGTTTAATTCACTAAACACTACTGGTGCTGTTTACCAGAGGCAGAAAAAGCCAGCTTGCAGATTGGAGGTCTCCATGCTAGGGATGGAAATTTATTTTTAACAAGTCTCAAGTGTGGTGAAACCTAGTCACTTGCGGACTCTACAATACACACCTGTGCCTTTGTTTGTGTGTCACCTGGTCAGAATGAGACTTGATCCAAACATGCCCTTACCTCCAGAAGCAGCAGTGCCAGGAACTCAATTAATTGATGGGAGGACAGTTCTTTCACGTCTGCTGAACTGAAGGATTTCAAATCACTTTCTGTGGCCTAAGCAAGCAAAATCAGGGAAATATATTTGGAAGAAAAGGGGAGGAAAAAAGTCTGTCTACTTTTGCTTTGGGGTATATGCATTTTAAATTTTAAACCATTTCATTTAAAAAAGCTGCTTTACAAAATACAAAAGTCTAGGATGATAGAAAAAACAATGAATCCTAAGAAGAGAAGCTGTGGGATCAAGCCTGTAGGCTAGTGTTTAGTTTTCATCACTTTGTTTGCCAAGTATCTTTAACAGGAGACTTGAGATGCTCATTAAAAGCAGGTAAAAATCCAAGTCCAACAATTGTAGTGAACATTTTTCTCTTATTAAAGACTTTTGTGAGGAAAAAAAAAGTATACAATATGAACAAAACCATGACACTGACAAAAATAAGAATACCACACAAAATTCATTACTGATTTTGTGCCCGTTCTGGCAAAACTAAAAGCAAATCACAACATATCACTGATCACTTGATATTTGCTTTACTTCATTTTATAGCAGAATGCCCACATGATAAAGAAGGAACAGCACTGCTACTTGGATATAGTGGATATTGCCATTACTTCGGCATTTTTCTCTCAAAAGTCAATTTTTAAAAACTCAAACTCACAGGGATGTTTGAGAGAGGATTTTCCATGTGCATATTGATACACAATATATGCAATCACGTTCACAGTTTACACATGCAATACACCTTTCCATGCTCAAAAAGCTGCAGCAATTCCAGAGAACCGTGTGTGAAAATTTAGCTTTTGAAACGATGCAGAAATCCTGATCCCATTGCCATGCATGTACTCTGTCAAGTAAAGGGGGTATTTTTTTTTTTTAAGAAAAAAAAGTTTATCTAGATTTAAGACCTCTGCAGGGTTCCTTAACAACTCACTTCAATCCATCTTTGGCTCAAGGCAACACAAGCATTTGATAGTGTCATATCGTATCTGATAAAAGATTAAAAAAAAGAATTATATTTCAGGCGCAGAACTCCTGTGCATTTTTCAGACACTGTTGTACAAAAAATAAAAAAATTGGTTATACACACACACATTATAAGCCAGCTGCTATCACAATGCAATTTACAAAACATCTGCCACCATGGAAATGCATTTCCATGCTCTCGTTCTTCACAATAACTTCCTTCTTCATGACAGAAATCACAAATATTTTGAACACTGATACTGCCCATACACTTCTGTCCCAAGGCTGATCAAGAGCTTATAGACAGCTTCAGAATAAACAAACATACAGTCATTTGGAAACCATAAGTTTTTTTTCTTGCAAAATTTTCCAAAGGGTGTGGGAGGGGGGAAAACCTTTGAAATTTTTCAATTTACTATAGTAATTTTCAAAGCTAGATAGGTTCTCCACCCAAAAAGTTATCAGAATTTTTTTCACACATGCAAGACTTTCGGAACTATTTTTTTCTGATAAAGGTTTTGCTGAAATATTGGCAGACAGCTTTGGTACATGTTTTTAGAATATTTAATAGCTTTTTGGGAAGAAGGTAAGAATTGGAGAGTGAAAGAGGAAACAAAACCATCCTTACTTCGGTTTCACTGATGGCATGCCAGGGGTGTTCATCCATGCATTCCAGTCAACTTTATCAAGAATGTCCACCTAAAAGCAATGCAGACCCTTCCTCAGTTCTTTGTCTAATCTTTAGACAAAACAGTTCGCAATATGAAAATTAGTTTTGATTTTTAGTTATGGTCTGTAATACCAATTTGATGAGGTGGTAATACCTACATAGCTTGCTTGTGAACAACAGCATCTCTTGAAAAAATAAGATTACAAACTAGATCATTTTATATTCTCTATACTGGAGATGAAGAGGTACAGAAAGGTTAAATTCTGTTTCAGCTTCATGCATTTACATGGCTACATAAATTTTAGGTCTCATGCAAAGAATATTTTAAGTGCACATAGCTGCCCTTGCCTTTCAGAATACGCGCAGTAGGCTACACTATGGCTGCATAGGTAGGCCAAGGGAACAGAATGATCCAGGCACATGCATATCACAAGTCCCAAATCTGTAGTTCCAGAAAAACTACAGTTAGCAGGTATGATGTTAGCAGCCCTCTTACATTTTAGCCAAATAATTTAGTGGCAGGGCACTCCCTGGGAACAGGAGAACTGGGTTCTAGCACCACCCTGCCTCCAGATCTCTCCTAGATGGGTTTTAAATTTGCATCTCTTACTTCCCAGCAAAGTGCTCTAACTACCAGGCCACAGGCTCTCAGCTGGAGCCCTGGCTTTTCTCCTACTGGAAGCCAGAGAGTGGCTCAACAGGATGTGCACTGCAGGGAAGGCACAAGTCTAGGGCTCTAGCTTGCACCTCAGTGGGGCAGAAACTATTCCAGTACTGCTTATCCATCTTATCCAATGAATATCAAATGCAAGGTGCAGTAGGCCAGTTTCAAGATGTGGGCTGGAGAATGCTCAAGGTAATATCTAGTCCATGGCCTGGTTGTTAGAAGCGTTCTGCCCGGAAGCAAGAAACAAGTTCATATCTAGGTTACCGAGCTAAAAGATGAGAGCACCCTCCTCTTCACTTCCTGTAGGTACGTATGCAAGGTGATCCTATTCCACTACAGGTAGAAACAGAATCCAAAGCATAAGTCACTGCCAAAATAGCTATTACACAACTACAGAAGTGCCATTTGGTATAGGAATGTGAAACTGGATTTAGCCAATAAGTGAGTAGACATCTCTTTAGGAAGGGAGTTATTCTATACACAGTAGAACCTGGATCATTCTTATGTTACGGTCTGCAACCCACTGGCCACGTCTACACAAGATGTTTACTGCAGAGCTGACTAATTAGCTCTGCAGTAAAACATTACCATCTACACGTGCAGCCATATTAGGTCACAATAGAATAAATTGCGGAGGTGGTTCAAGCGCCTACATTGAACACCTTCAAGAGCAAACTGGATGCTTATCTTGCTGGGATCCTATGACCCCAGCTGACTTCCTGCCCTTTGGGCAGGGGGCTGGACTCGATGATCTTCCGAGGTCCCTTCCAGCCCTGATGTCTATGAAATGCTGCCGCACAGCAGTCCAATTAAACACAAATACTACCCTGTGGCAGCATTGTGCAGACAGTGACATGGCCAGCTGGGGCCAGCAGGCAGCCCCTGCACTGAAGCGTCCTTGTGCCCAAGCTAGCCCCTCCACAGCATATGGCACCTGGTTGGAGCAGTCAAGGCTAGCAGGGGACTTGGGGATCAGCCTGTCACACCAGGGCTAGTCCAACAGGGCTCCATCTGCTGCAGAGGAGATAGTTGGGGCATGAGTGTGCTTCAGTGCAGGGGCTGTCTGCCAGCTAGTCCAGCACTGAACCACCCTTGTGCCTTACCCAGCCCCCTCTGCAGCACATGCAGCCCCATCAAAGCAGCCCTGGGCTGACAGGCTGACCTCCCCCACCCCCCTCCCTCCCCTCCAGGTCTTCTGCCAGTCTGGGCTGCTTCAATTAGATTCCACATGCAGTGCACAAATAAACTCCAGAGCTCAATGTTAAAGCAGAGTGCCCAGGAGCAAAAAACTCTGGAGCGATAAGCTCTGGAGTTTATTTGTGAGCATTAGTTGCATGTGTAGATGTGCCCACTGTGAATTAAGTACAAGCTGCTCACGTGTCTGCTGCAGCTTTTTATTTACTTTGCTTCTCCACTCAGCTGGAGTACAGCCGTGGTTTAGTGCAGCTTTTTGTTACGTTTCTGTACAAGTCCCAGTTACTTTGCAATGGACAGGCGAACCTAACCCTGCAAAGCATCTAGACTCTTCTATATCAGTATTTTACTATGACTACATGCAGTATCCCATCCTCTGTTTCCTTTACTATGCCATGTATTCCTTCCGCTTCACACAGCTGCAGATGAAATCAGTCTTAAGTATTATCCAACCTTATCCTTGAAGTAGGAATACAAGAAGTTCTTCCAATCCTCAGTTACAATGCTTTTATAGGCAAATTGCTGTATATAAGCCTTCAAGAAGCCAATGAAGACATCTAATGGTGGGGAAAAAAAAGTTTCCATGAACAAAACTAGCATTTGAAAACAAAATAAATGTGTTTAAAACATTCCCTGGATCATCACAGCTCTAACACTCCTACCCTACTAAAATAGAATAAATACCCACCTGGTCCTCCAAGAAGTTGTTCAAGGTAAAAGAGCAACGCAAAGCCTTTCTCATATGGAACAGAAGAATATGCAACATCAGTATCTACTTCGTTCAGATCAAGGACCAGTTTAGTGAAAGGGTTTTTCTCTCCAAGGGTATTTATCTGTAACAATATTATAAACAAACATGTTCACCAAGAGACACTCCAAAACCAACAGTGATTTGCAATCTTCTATCCAAAACCAAACCCGTTGTGCTTTGGAGCACTCTGCTCCATTTTTCATACTTGACTTACTTCAGGGAACTGACATGTTTAACAATAAGGCATCAAATGATCCTGATTTAAACTATTAGGATGCAAATGTTACATCTGCATGCTTCTACAGATTAACCCTGTTTCATTCACGGTTAAAATTACAGTGATTTAACTCACTTGTATGGCTATAGGAGCATGCAGAATACATTTTACCCACTGTAATGCTACTCCCAACCATAAGCTACCACTTTTAATCCCTTCAAAAGTTTTTTGTTTTTTTGTTTTTATCTTAGGGCTGGAAGGGACCTCGGAAGATCATCGAGTCCAGCCCCCCGCCCGAAGGGCAGGAAGTCAGCTGGATCCCAGCAAGTTAAGCATCCAGTTTTCTCTTGAAGGTGCTCAATGTAGGTGCTTGAACCACCTCTGGTGGCAGGCTATTCCAGACCTTGGGGGTTCAGACAGTAAAGAAATGCTTCCTTATGTCCAGCCTGAAACGGTCTTGCAGTAATTTATAACTGTTTGACCTCATCATCCATTGGGGCGCTCTGGTGGTCACTCCTGATAAACTTATAGGTCCCCTGAGCCTGCGCTTTTCCAGGCTAAAGAGCCCCATAGCTCTCAGCCTGTTGTCGTAAGGTCTGTTTTCCTGACCTCTGATCATGCGCGTGGCTCTTCTCTGCGCTCTCTCAAGCTTCTCCACATCCTTTTTGAATTGTGGGGCCCAAAACTGGACACAGTACTCTAGCTGCGGCCTCACCAAGGCCGAATACAAGGGGAGAATGACATCCCGGGATTTGCTTGAGAAGCATCTATGGATGCAAGCCAGCATTTTGGTCGCTTTACTAGCCACAGCATCACACTGAAAGCTCATGTTCATCTTGTGGTCAATGATGACCCCCAAGTCTCTTTCTTCCGTAGTGCTAGCCAGTGTAGCACTGCCGAGCCTATAAGGATGCTGCAGGTTTTTCCTCCCAAGGTGGAGAACCTTGCATTTTTTAGTGTTAAACACCATCAGGTTCTTGTACGCCCATTTGCTGAGCTTTTCTAGGTCAGCCTGGATCGCCCTCCTGTCTTCATGGGTGGATGCTTTGCCCCAAAGTTTGGGGTCACTGGGAAACTAGGCCAGTCCGCTTCTGACTCCAATGTCCACATCATTAGTGAAGATTTTCCTATATAAGCTACAAGTGCCCAGGCAGTGCCCAAAAACTGCGAAGAGGCAGCCAAGGGGAACTGCCAGCCTGCAGGGGAGTATTAACCCAGGGTTGGAAGGATTTTGTTTTACAGCTGTGAGTCTGGTGTTTATGCTTCGGTTAGATCTACCAGAGGAGCAAGTTGTGGATATAGAGATGGAGGTACCCATGGACAGAGGTGCTTTAGTGTGCTCCCCTTGTGGTAAGCACCATGAGGCTCAGCCCTAAGGCAGAGGGGCAGAGGCTATCGAGGTGCAGGTGGACCCCGCCAAAACGGGGGACTGCTGTCAGGGCAAGGCTGTCAGGGCAAGACTGAGGTCTTGAACAGCAGACCCCGTGAGGTGACTACTGACCTTCAAGGACCCTTCCCCATCATCAACAAAGGCATGCCAAGCAAGTGACTGGAAGTAAATGGGGGTTGGGAAGGAACGGGCAATGTGGGTGGATCCCCATGGGTCCTACACATTGCCCCAACAGAACATAGAAACTCAGCCACAAATGGGGATAGTTTAAGGGCATTCATAATTTAGGGACACATGTTAAACAACTCAACTTCAATGACCCCTCTGTTTAAGCATGAGGATACGACAGAAATGATTTACCGTATTTTGCAGTTCTCTCCAGCCGCCTAGAGCTTGGAAATGCCTGAACTGTTCACCAAACAGCCGTCCACCAATCCTGCGTTCCAAGTACACAGTGTGTCCCTCATTTAGCCTAAGAATTTATTCAGAATATTAGTGTGTGCTCAATGCCAAAAAGCACTTCCTTGATTCTTTTATAGGCTACATTACAGCCATTAAAAAACTTCAGCATTATACCTACCAAAAATGATCCCAAGTTTTGTTTGTCACCAGGTTTCCTGTCCAGCTATGGGAGATTTCATGAGCAATAACCTGAAATGCAAATAACCGTATCAGAAGTAGATCACAGACTTCCCTGAGGAGTGTGCACAGTAAAATCCCCACAGAAAAAACAAATCATAATGTGATTCATTTAACTGATGAACATTTTCAAACGTACTTGTCTACAGAAATGCGGGAAACAAGGGGCTTCCCTGTTGTTTCTTTTTTCTATGCTGCCTGGAATTCCCTGAATGATCCTGAAGTTTTTCCCATTCTATAACTTTACACACAAAATGAGGGGGAATATTGATCAAAATACCAGGAAGAGTATTTTGAATACTGCTATGTAAGATTTAACTTGAAGTAACATAGCATGATATACTTACATTTGATAGAGATTTGTCCCCTGCCTAAAACAGAAAGACAATTTAGAATGTATTTGCTAGATCAAGTTCAACTCAAAATTCATATACTAGAGACACATTTCACATTCAGATCTCTGCCTCTGATAAAAGTCAAGAACATCTTATGGGTCTTTCAGAAGATGTCCAAGACCTATGAATTTCTGGATTAATACTGGAATAAGTACTGAAACAATATATGTCACACTTACCAATAGAGTTGGAGTCACAAAAGTAAGACAAGGGTTCTCCATACCACCATAAGGAAAAGAAGGTGGTAAAACCAGCAAGTCGTATTGTTCCCACACATAAGGCCCTACCAAATCCTCTGCTATTTTCAACATGTCTTCAGTCTGAAATAAAAGTTCACATTGGTTTCTAGTGAGGCTTCTCTAATTACAAATAGTAAATAAAAACTATGAGCTATTAAGCCACACACAAGGCTCTCAAGGACATCTTAGATCGCTTCACATACCAACAATTGCATGATTGTACTATATCACTTCTGTAGTAAGTTTGGCAGTTGCTTTGCATTCCATTAAGAGGACAAGGGAATAAATAAAAAAAGACTGAGAAAATGGAAAAAAAATGGACTGTTATTTTAATACTGTATAAAACAGCAGGACAATTAGCAAAGTCTATGTAACTGACCTCAGTAAATTCATAAGCTGATTTATCCACCAGCTCCTTTTCTGCCCACACCAATGTCCTTGGACCAATTTTCCTGTTGAAATACAGAATTTAGTTAGATGATGATATCCAATGTTTCTGTGAGGACAATCTTGGGAAACTCAGCTTCCCTCTTTTTCACTGTTACTATATATGTCAGAATGCAGGATAAGGGGAGAAGAGGAATGATCTGCTTAATTAACAAGTATGAAGTTACAGACTTGAATTCTCTAGTCTCCAGAACAAGACTGAGAGGCAGGAGTCAATTCCAGCCCCATCACTTGTTCACGTTACTTTTTTCCCCTTATAGAAAGGTGGGAGCTTATTAGCATTCTTATGCTGTGGCTAGACTCAGACATTTTAATCTACCTGAAGACTTCAAGAATGACTAACCTGCCCAGCAGTAGACTAAATAAGTATTATTTCTTTTGAGATTATATAAAGTAGAATCTTAATAGTATTTCACTAACCATTTGTCCAAGAGGGTTTTTTTAAAACTGAATGTGTCCAAATAATGTCAAGACTGAAGATTCCTAGATCTTTTTATAATGGATACCATTTCGTCAATAGATATCATATCCACTCACCTGCTTTCCAAAGCCCCAACAACTAAAGCAATCAAGTAGCTGGGTATTGGAACCTAAAAGAAATAAAAAGTATATTTAATAAACAGTTGTAAATCATCAAAACTATAAATCATCTACCTAATAAAAGGAAGACATTACATGAGCATAATTATACATACAATTTCTTCACAACTTTCCACTTCGTTTTGCATTAACTCACAGGCTGTGGTTTTGCTGCCGGATATGGCCACTATTGGTGATATTATAAAGCTGTCTATGCAACTGAGTTTTAGGGATGGCAGAATCCATATTCATTTTATATTGCAACCATTTCCCCATACGCTATAAAAACAGCAGCAAATCTGGGAATGCTTGACATACGTTAAAAGAGCCACATATCCACTCCCATGGTTCCCTGTACATTGTCTGGTTCCATTTGTTTTTGAATCAGGACTTCAGGGGACCCAACTGGGACAACAGACATCTATACGCCAAGCTCAATAATGCAAGAGATAATACTGGGTTTATGAAAAGCCGAGTTGTAGATCATCTCATCCCGAATTACAGCTCGAACAATAAGAGGAACCTAGCGTTTTGATGAGTACAAAAGCACCAGACTGAGTTTTCCTGTCCTTACTCAGGGTGAAGTTGCAAGTTACACTTAGAACATACGTTAAATTTAGAGTGTTCTGTGAGCAGTCTCAGGTTAACGGTTAATACCATTTCTTGCCTGCGCCACTCTGACTTCCCACTAGAGGGCTGTTAAGCTCTGGTGGAGGGGAGGGGCTGGGAATGATGCATCCTGGGCTGCTGGAGGACTGCAAATTGCTTGTTATCTCTGTGAAACGCACCTAAGCTATTCTAACATGAGCTAAATAGTACAGCCCAGAGTTAACCCCCACCTGAAGTGGCATAACTGAGAAGCTCAGAGAGCACTTAGCAAGAGGTAACAACCTTTAACAGGTGGACACTTGCATTTCAAGTGCCTTTAGTCTAAGTGTAATGTGTACCTTCATCCTTAACACAATTAATAATGGAACTCAGCAATGTGAGTTGAACCTGACTATCTGGGAGAGTCCCAGTGATGTCTTGATGCACAACAAATCTGGAGGGGATTCTAATGATCACTTGTCAATGAAGACTTTACCAACCTATCAGTCCTTCAGAGCCACTGAGGTAGTTGCCTCAGCTTATGCAAGGATTTTTCAGTTCAACAGGGTGACTAATACACCAGAATTAAGCCCAGATTGATGCTGTCCTGGAATCACACATAAAAGGGCATACCTACATTCAACCAATGCTTGTTATTACAAGGAAAACTGGAGGCTTTAACCGTTGCTAAATCAAGACCTGTTGGGGTTTTGTTACTATTTTGCATTTAACAGGCGGGGATTTAAGATAAATCAGCTCACTATCCCAGGCACTGAGTAACCCCAACCCTCATAACCAGTTCCTCACATGTGCCAAAGTCCAGGACTGCATAGTTCAGGGTATAACAGAGCTGTTGCTTTGAAAGGAAATTTGGAGGAGAGCTCATGAAGTAAAGTGCTGCCATAAGCACCTCTAGCAAACACGGAAAACCCATTTGTACAACCCCATTCCAGTGAAATGAAACAGCCCATCCATCTCATAAGGCTCTCGGCTTCATAGGACAAAGTCAACCTCCTTCCAGATCATAATATTATGCTAACACAACCCTCCCAGTCTCCTCTCCTCTCTTAGTTCTCCCCATGATATTCCTCTTCCCTCTAACTAACCATTCCAAAAAGCAGGAACGCCATCCCCTTCAGTTTCTTATGATGGGGGAAGAAGGGACTGCTTTCATGTGCCCCATATTCATAACCTGGAAGAGGACTGTGTGTGGGCCGGGAGCGGTCCGAGGCCCTTGGGGGCGTGCGGCAGAGCTGTGGCCAGCAGCCCTGGCACGCAGGTCGGGGAATGCAGGCCGGAGGACTAGAATTAGGCACAGACACTTAGCGGTTGATTAAAGATTATTTTACTTACACCGTAGATGGTCACGGTGCAGGCAGGAAAACTTGCTTGAGTTGCAGTTATAGACAGGAAAGAAGAAAAGCGGACAAGAGTTCCTTCCACGCGAACTCTAGCCCAATCCGGTTGGAGGCTCTAAAAACGCGAGCCCGTCGTGTCAACCGAAGAAAACAACTCGGAGAAAGAGCTCTGGATACACTCACACGAAGTTTGCTAGGCTCCGTGGAACTTGCGTGCAGGGAAGGGGTTCGTCGAGGGATCGTTCGGCGACGGGGAAAGGGCAGAGGTTGATCAGACCCCTATAGCCTTCTCAAGGTACACGCTGGGTCCGAGAGGCT